AAGGAGTATACAGTTTACATGATCCACACTTCTGGACACTGTGTACTGATGTTTATATAGGGACCTTGAAACTATTTGTAGCTCCTGATGCCGATGCCAGATGGATTTTAAGCCAAACTCACAATATTTTTACTCAGGTATGTCTCTTTATTAATAGAAACTCAGAATACAGTAGTATGGTTGGATACCATGGTGGGGTGTGAGAGTGAGAGAACATGGATATAATAAAATAGAGCAACAGGTTTATAAAAGTAACAGCTCGGTGTTCTGTTTTTAACCACAAACCAAATATTGTTGTTTAACTTGTCATTGTTAACTCCAGCTACCAGAAACGGAATGGTTAAACTGAAACGTGTTCAATATATGTAGCCTATTCCTCTTCATCAATCTCTTTATTGCCTCTGTGGAGACAGGACGTGAGAGTGCTGCAGTCTCAGATGTGCATTGAAGCCCTATGTTATAGTATCTTAGTTACAGAAACTAGCCCGATTTCTGCATCCATTGTGATGCCTCTGTATCGGCATTCATTTATGTTGCTTTAAGTCACATTTTGTGCCTGCTTTGTTGCTTTTTAGCAACTTCCAGGTGGTGGTAGTCTCTGAAGCAGTGGTCTCCCACATTTTTAAGCATGAGATCACTTTTGGAATTTAAGTGCAATCCAGGATCTACCTCAAACCCAAATACCCTTGCCCCATCTCCTTCCCGCCCCTTCTCCAAGGCCCGCCTCTGCTCACTCTATCCTCCCACCCTCCCTTCCCTCCCCCATCCTCATTCACTTTTATCAGGCTGGGGGCAGAGGGATGGGGAGTGAGGGAGGGGGATGTGGACTCTGATCTTGGGCGAAAGGATTTGGAGTGTGGGTGACCAACTTGCCCAGGGATGTTGTCAGAACAAGCAATCCTGATGTGACTCTCTCCAGGGACTGGCTCTTGGCCTCGTCTACTCCAGCAACTGTGCCTCCCATTACAGCTGTGATTTACTGCAGTCGCTTTCAGTCTTGATTCTTGGGTGTCCGTAGACTAAGATTTCCAAAAGGGTCTGCACCATTTGAAATTTTTTCTAAGGCTCCACAATAAAAGGCTGAAAACCGTTGGTTTACTGGAATAACACAGTTATGAAGCAATAGTGGGAGAGTTGAGACAGAACTTGAACAGGACTTGGACCTACTGTATACAGTTCACTTCTGCAGGAAATAATGGCTCTGGGACCTCTGCCCATTTCTAGAACTCAATGCAAAACTCAAATTTATTTGGCTTAGCTTTTCTGGCGGGCAAAAAAGTGTGTGCAGAGAACACATGCACTTTTGCAAACAAAACTATAACGAAGTTCCTTCTACTACAAAGTATGAAGAAAGTAAGGGTTTGTTGTCATTTCTAATCTTAAATCCTCGTGGTGTTCTCTGAAGCACTGATAGTATGGAGAGAGAGCGAGCGAGAGAGCAGCATTTAAATATCTAGGTAAATAGTAAGGGATGAAATCTTTTGTACGTGGGTTTCTGTATGTTGGTACTATAGGGTTGGTGTCATATTAACTTAGGAGAAATGATACACCTTCCTGCCCATTTGATATGAAGGTATAGTTGAACAAACATTTTTTGAGCAATAGTGGAGATCATAGTTGTTGAAATTGTAATTGGTAGGTTAGTCAAAGTGACTTTTGATATCCAATATTTTCAGTACTGTTATGAAACAGTCCACTGCACATCATGACTCCAAACAAGTTAAGCTTTCTCAAGTGTGGTCACAAGATACAGTGACATCTAAAAAAGACCTGTTCCTAAAGCTGTACGCCAAGTCAGTGCAATTCTCAGGTTTTATTCTAGAGTATGGCACCATTATGGTATGATATCTAAGGATGTTAGTGTAATTGAATAGTTGTGTAACAGCACAAATTATTACTGATGACACAAATATTCAATAGTCCTTGGAGGCAGGGTTGGCTGCCAGGGTGTTCCAGCCCCACTCCTGGGGAGCCCCCTGCTACCCTAGGATGGCAGGTGGGAGCCAGTCCATGAGGGGAACGGGTTTAAAAACCAGGCTCCCAGGCAGATTGACTCTGCATTGCTGCCTGTGATACAGAGGGAGCAGCCTGTCCATGATGAGTCTGAGCTCCCCACTGGTCCAGGCTCACTGCAGACAGGGGCTGCTCTGTGGGATGCCGGAGAAGCCCATGTCCATGAGGACCTCGGATCCCTGCGAACAAGGGCTGCTCTGACATCCCGCAGAGCAGCTTCTGTTCAGAGTGAGCCTGGGCCTGCTACAGAGAGACTGTTTTGTGGCAGCCACCTTCCTTGCACTGCTACCTCAAGAGGCAGCAGCATGAGGTGGTGGGAGGAGGAGGTGGCTCTGTGGAGCTGGTGATGTAGGAAGCTGACTTAAAAGCCAGGTGCCCCCCAGCCCTGGCTCCTGCCTGTCCCCCCTGCTGCTGCCTCTGCCTCTGTAGGAAGTATCAAAGCGGGGAACAGGTTGGTCCGTGGAGCTGGAATGCATGGGGAGCTGTTTAAAAACTGGCTTTCCACGTGTATTGGCTCCTGCCTGTCCCCCTCACTCTCCGTGCTGCTAGCTAAAAAGCTGGCTCCCCATGTGTAACAGCTCCTGCCTCCCCTTTCCCCTTGCTGCCTCTGCAGAGAGGAAATGTGTGTAGTCCACAGGTTTAACTGATAAACCTACGCTTATCAATTAATTGTGTAATTGGCAACATGTTGACTTCCCTAATGCCTACATGAATCTCATCAGTATAAAATAACGTAACAATTTAAACTGTTTTATAATATCCTGTGTGGATACTTTATTTCATAGTAGATATGGCTTTCTGGCTTAGGCCTGGTTTACACTAGTTTAGACGGGATTTAGTCATATACGGTCGATTTTTCTAAATGATGTGTCTGCACTACCAAGCCTGTATCATCAGCCGTAAGGGGTGCTGAGGTCAGTTTCAGGTACTCCTGCTTTTATGAGGAGTAATGCCACTTGCAAGCTTGCCTGGTTGAATTTAGAGTAGTGAAGATGCAGCATTGGTGAAAATCGAGGTTCATGGCCTCCAGGAGGCATCCCATAATATTCCACTCTGGCCAGAACTTATGCCTCACCTGCTTTGCTGGTGAACAGGAAAAGCCCTGGGAAAGCTTGCATTTCATTTCCTGTGTGGTCAGGGTTGAGAACACATCCCACAGCAGGCAGCACATGTGGCCATGGCTTCCAATACTTCAAGTACCATGAGTTCCAGTTCCTAGGGGGGTGCAAAATATAGCCAGCATGGCGTGTGCAGGCGATCTTGGACCTCATCAAGGTGCAGGGAGAGGAATCCATTCTCTCCAAGTTCTGAGTCAGCAAAAGAAATGCTGATATCTTCGCAAAGACAATGGAGGAGAAAGGATACTTCAGGAACACCCAGCAGTGCAGAGTTAAAATAAAGGAACTATGGCAATCCTACCACAAAACAAAGGAGGCAAATGTTTGCGGTGATACACCAGACCCATCCATGCCATTTCTGTGACCAGCTGCATGTGATCCAAGGGGGCTTTGACTCACCAAGACACTCCTGGAGGACAGTGTGGTGGCAGAGGGGGAAGGACAAGGAAAATGGCTTCATAATTCAATCTATATCACATCCTTACACTTTGCTCCACTTGAACCAGCATCTGTTCCAAGGGTTAAAAATACACATTAGACTCTTTTAAAAATCATGTCACATTTTTAGAGGCCGTTTTTAACCTTGTAGAAGCCCTGTACATCTTTAACTCCTGCACTTACGCATTTCCCTTTTTAATGGATGTTTGACTGTTTGCCAGAAGTATTACGTAGAACAAGCTATCAAGCAGATTTGTTTGTTCACCAAATAAAGATAAATATAATAGCATTTGGAACTGGAGTATAGTTCTACGAGTGATTTTTTTTTTTTTTTTTTTTCCAGTTTTCTAATTCTCCCTCTTTTATTTACAGGCAGGAGTGAGACAGCTTTATATACAGCTTGACTTTGCAACCATGTAGAGAACATCATAAATTATGCTCTTTGGACCAAAGTTTTCTGGTACTGTAATGGTATAAAACATTGTACTCGTCAAGACAGAACCACCCCAGCCCAGTTAATCAAGACCAAATAGACTGCTGCCTTTTGGCTTCTTCTGGAGTCCACATCAAAGGAGTAAAAGCTGAAAGGATGTCCTGGACTTCTGGTCTTGTATTTTGTGTCCATCCCCTCCCCCTCCAGCTGTGTTAATTTTTTTTAGAATTTTTTTTTATTTTCTACAATTGTTCCAATAGGAAACTAAGATTTTGGGACTATAATCCCTGGGTCATGTCTTTAATGAAGGGCTTGTCTAAACAAACAATTTCGTAGCAAGCTGAGGTCTGAATCTGTTCTGCACTAGTCTGTTGCAAATTGCCCTTGTGGCCCCTATTGATATGCATTAAGTTAATTAATGCACTTTGATCTAGTTCCATTCTAAAGAGGACTGGATCTAAGTGCATGTCAGCAGGGATCATGTGGACACTTAAGTCTTTGGCAGTCTAGCACTGAGTAGATTCACACCCTATCTTGCCACAAACTAAATGTTAATGTAACAAGCCTGAAGCTGCTCATTCCCACAAAACCAGTGTTATCACAAATTGGAGCGCTGTCTTGTACATAATGCCACAACGAGTGGCATTCTTCATGAGAATCGTATGTTTGTAAAATTGTTTGTACTTTGCAAACTTAATGAACCAAACCATATTGGGTTTTCAAAGTGCCTTTCTATCAGAAAAAGTATTCGCCAGCATTGATGTGGAACATAGAGGTTTTATTACTTTTATGGTTACAACTTGTTCACCGTTGTCTTGTTAGTGATGTCTGTGACTGTGTACTTGCGTAATTGTAGATTTTTAGACTCCCTTTTACTGTTTCATCTTATCAAATGAACTGGGGTTACATTTGTTTAATTTACTTTACAAGTTAAAGCTTTTGTGAGGAGACTTGCTTTCAAAACATCTGTCTATCTAATACATATTATCCTAAGAGTTGTTTTAACCAAATTAAACATTCGACCCTGTGTCAAAATCTATGAATTAAAGTTTCTCAATACTGCTATAGAAAATAGAAGTTGTAGCTCAATAACCATGTTCATAATATCACCATGAAAGAGAAGCAGTTACAACATAATGATAGTAATTGAACTGTTCTGCTTTTTTTTTCTTTCAGACTTTTTTTTTCCCTGTTGAAGCTTGCTGTGAAAATTAGTCTGCTAGGTTTTAATAGACTATTAAAAAGGATGGAAGTAGTTACTGTGTCTAACCCTAAACTAGGGAGAAGGAAAGGAGCTGTCCTGGGAAATGTATCTGCAGTGGAAATGAGGACTGTTGTATGAGCTATGTAAAGTCACATTTTCTTAGTTGACATGTTTGATTGGGACTTGAGTGTGATTTTTCTCATTAATGTCTTGTATTTCTCCACACGCACACAAGTGTCCAACGAGCAGTTTGCAGAAACACCCCTAAACCATCTATTTTTGACATTTTTATATATATTTACATCTTGTACTGAAAATGTTAAATTCCCGAGACAGTCCAACAACACCTGTATTATAGATGCAATGCTTCTACTAAAATTAGATTAACTACAATTATCAGTGCTTAATGAAGTTTCCCATTCTGTTTGAATTCAGAGACTGAATAGAAAAGAGCCATTTTGATTTCCATATTTGAGGCTGTTAGTCCCAATGGGACATAGAGCAAGAAAAAGGAAGTCTCATTTTGGTTAATCAGAAATACATTTGCTAGTTGAGGGGAAAGGGTTTGAATTAATACATTTATACTTAATGTTCAGTGTGTTGTGGCATACAACAAAACAAGAATGCTTGTTTGAAAAATCAAATGTGCTGACTGGTACAAATTCTAGATATTTTTCTGATACAAATATTAATACAGGCAGTCCCCGGGTTACGTACAAGATACGGACTATAGGTTTGTTCTTAAGTTGAATTTGTATGTAAGTCGGAACTGGCTCCAGATTCAGCCGCTGCTGAAACTGATCAGCGGCTGACTACAGGAAGCCTTAGGCAGAGTTACTCTGCCCCGGGCTTCCTGGAATCAGCCGCTGATCAGGTTCAACAGCGGCCGAATCTGGACGCCCGGGACAGAGCAGCTGGGGGGCTGCCGGGTTGGTCCCCCCAGCGCCGAGGG